TTTTTTTTTTTTTCTTTTATAATGTTACAAAATATTTCTATTTTAAATGAACGTTGTTCTTTTGAACTTTCGATTCATCTAAGAATCCTGAATGCTCACAGTTTCCACAAAAATATTAAGCAATTTTCAACATCGATAGTCATAGGAAATGTTTCTTGAGCACCAAATCAGCATTTCTTAAAATGTTTTAATTTCTTAAAAGATAGAAAACAGTTATTTTAAGAGATTTCTTAAAAAACATTTTAATAATCTTACCAGCCCCAAACTTTTAAACATTAGAATGTTTTTTATGTACTTACAAGAGTAAAGCAACAAACACTCATGCATATGTTAAAAAAGTTAATAAATGCTGAATAAAGGTGTTATTGTGACACTGTTTTTTTTTTTAGGTTTTGGATGTCCGTGAGAATCCAAATCTAGTAATGCCCCCTAAACCAGTGGACAGGACAGCTGAGTGGTACAACATAGACTTCTCATTGCAGAACCAACTGCGATTGGCTGGTGCGTCTCCAGCCACTGTGGCAGCAGCTGGTGGAGGTACAATATATGTTTCTCTCTCTAAGAGGGGTGGTGATGGTGTTGTTGTGCGTATGTACCTAACCTTTGTTGGCTCGGTATCCTGAATTCGAAGTAACAAAACATAAACTCTAACTGTGTATTATCATAATCTTTGTGTGTTATGCAGGAAATAGCCCAAGAGACCATATGGCCAGAAAAATGAGGCTAAGGAGACGCAAGGACTCAGCCCAGGATGATCAGGCTAAACAGGTGCTGAAGGGAATGTCAGATGTGGCTCAGGAGAAGAACAAATCCATTGAGGTAAGGGAACAGCAGAGCTCATGGTGGAACCTTTATAATGGTACATGTCCAAATATTCCTGGTCTTCATGTGTCTCACAATCTTTTAGGAGAATGGAGACTTGAAATACTCTGATCTGAAAACCAAACGATGGGACAAGAACCTGGAGAAACCGCAGCTGGATTACTCTGAGTTCTTCATGGAGGATGTGGGCCATATCCCTGGTGTTGCGGTTTGGCAGATTGAAAACTTTATACCCATCCAGGTGGACGAGGCCTTCCATGGGAAGTTCTATGAGGCAGACTGTTACATTGTTCTCAAGGTCAGGCCTGTAATTTTTTTTTCTTGTTTCTTAAATGTACTGTAATTTACGTATTGTTTTTTTTATGAGATCTGCATCCAGTCTGCAACCCTTCTTTCAATGAATGCTTTGTAATGCACTTTTACAGACGTTCTTAGATGACAATGGAGCCCTGAACTGGCATATCTATTACTGGATCGGGCAGGAAGCTACCCTTGATAAGAAAGCCGGCTCTGCCATCCATGCTGTCAACCTCCGTAATTATTTGGGTGCTGAGTGCAGGACTATCAGAGAGGAGATGGGAGACGAGAGTGAAGAATTTACTGCAGTCAGTAAAACAAACACTATTTTCTACACAAAATGTTGTATTTTTGCATTATCATCAGCATATATTTTTTCTGTACTGTGTCCTTTTAGGTGTTCAACAATGAGATTTCTTATATTGAGGGTGGAACTACCAGTGGATTTTACTCAGTAGAGGACACTCAATACCCAACCAGGTGCCCCACCAAAAACAACACCCAGGACAGCCTATCCAGTACATCCCTGATCTGACTCGCTCTAATCCTGTGTGTTTTGTGTTTTGGGCAGGTTGTACAGGGTTTATGGGAAAAAGAACATCAGATTAGAATCTGTGCCTCTGAAAGCATCCTCACTCGACCCCCGGTGAGCTTAATGTGCTGTTTGCTGATTTATGTATTTTGATGGGAGTGATTTAGTCTGATAATGTTGTTCTCTCTCTGATTTCAAGGTTTGTCTTTTTGTTGGACACTGGTCTTGAGATATTTGTTTGGAGAGGAGGCAATGCAACACTTGGTGGGACTACAAAAGCAAGGTAAGATGCAAACAAATAAGCCGTTTTCCCCTATCTTGTGGTTCAGATTTGTAGTAGTGCCTATGTTATTTATAGGTTATTTGCTGAGAAGATCAACAAAAATGAGCGAAAAAGCAAAGCAGAGATTACAACTTTGATGCAGAATCACGAACCTCCAGAGTTCTGGGAAGTTCTTGGGGGACAGCCTGAGGAAATCAAGAAACATGTCCCAGATGACTTCACTCCTGTTCGACCCAAGCTCTATAAGGTCAGGGAATTGTCTATTATTTGTCATGTATTCCTTTCCAAAACCACTATGTTGTAAACTATTTTGTACTTTCTTGGTCTGTTAGGTTGGTTTGGGCTTGGGATACCTTGAACTTCCTCAGATCAACTACAAACTCTCTGTGGAGCACAAGGACAAGCTCAAGCTAGATGTGGTTCCAGAGCAAAGACTGGTAATGCGGAGTTTAGACTGCTCTGATGATCAGAGTTAGCCTAAATGTCTTTTTGATTCTATCCGTCATGTTTGTTTAAATTTAATTGGGGATATTAGATTAATGCCGATCCATTTTGTTTATTTAGATTTTATATTATTCTAATATAGCTAGAGAGAGAGAGAGCGCTCGCGCAACGGAATGGATGGTTTATGTCTATAGCCGTTTATAAAGGCCTATAACTTTTTTTATACTCTGTCATGTATAGCACAGAGAGTGAGAACGAAAAATAATATTTGATTCATGAACGAATATTTGACAGAACTAACTATCTTGACTATCAGAGGAAAAAATAAAGACAATAGTTACACCCCATTTTTTTCATAAAGAACAAACAAAATTGTAATTAGTAGAGTTTTATTTCTAAAACGAATCAAACTAATAAAAAATAAACATAGCTTATATACCCTTTAATTCAAAACTACACCATTGTTGCTTAAATAAAGTTTGAATACACTACTAGTTTAAAATCACAGTATAATATAATTTGTGTAAGCCTATGAAAGAAACACACCTATCTCGCAATTACAGTTTAATTTACATTAAATGCTAGCTTCAATGACGGCCCTACTTTGCGCATGCGCATTAAAATCCAATACCTGCGCATGCTCGTCAAACATCCAATACGTATTGGATCTGATCCAGCAATGTCATCGTGCTACAGGCTGCAGAGGACCTCTTGGGATCAGGAGGTGCTGGCTGTGTGACTGAGTGGAGGCGGGGTTAATTTGCATATTCATAGATCAGCGTATAGTAAATGAGGCAAGGGTGTAGAGTTACATTCAAGCTATTTTAAGGCATGACAAAATTATTTTCACAAGAAAAAACATTTAAATATGTCATTTTGATGATCAAAGATAAGTTTTTAAGGGATAAAATATTTGACCACAGGGGGACTTTAAATACACTACTGTTCAAAAGTTTGGAGTCAGAAATGAATGCCTTTTATTCAGCAAGGATGCATTAAATTTGATCAAAAGTGACAGCAAAGACATTTATAATGTTACAAAAGATTTCTCTGTCAAATAAATGCTGTTCTTTTGAAGTTTTCATCAAAGAAGAAAAACGGTATCATGGTTTCCACAAAAATATTAAGCAGCACAACTGATTTCAGCATTGATTATAATAAGAAATGTTTCTTAAGCAGCAAATCAGTATATTAGAATGATTTCTGAAGGATCATGTGACACTGAAGACTGGAGTAATGATGCTGGAAATTCAGCTTTGTATCGCAGGAATAAATTACACTTTTAAAATAGAAATTCAAAAAAAAAAAAAAACATATTTTAAATGGTAATGAGATTTAACAATATTATGGCTTTTACTGTGCTTCTGATCAAATGTCTTTTAAAATAGAAATTAAAAAAAAAAAAAAAACATATTTTAAATGGTAATGAGATTTAACAATATTATGGCTTTTACTGTGCTTCTGATCAAATGTAGCCATTGTGAGCATAAGAAACGTATCATAAAAGTCTTACCAAACCCAAACTTTTAGACGGTAGTGTAAATGAACTGGTTTTGTAACTTTTTATTTTTTTGCATTTTGTCATATGTAATACATTCACCATATTTCTGAGGTTTTAATAGATTTGTCCTTTTGTCTCAGGTGCTCCAATGAGAAGGGTTACTTTGCTGTATCAGAGAAGTGCTCAGACTTCTGTCAAGATGACCTGGCCGATGACGACATCATGCTTTTGGACAATGGGAAAGAGGTAGAGCTTCATGTTTGCAGTCAAACAGATTCTCTTAGCAGTGGTTTCTGTTGCTGAGCTGTTTGTTTGCTTGTTTCGCAGGTTTACATGTGGGTTGGCACACAGACAAGCCAGGTGGAGATTAAACTGAGCTTGAAGGCTTGTCAGGTCAGTGGCAGTTTTATTGTACACCAGCACTTAGTTTTTATCTTTGCACACATACACACTTGCCCTCAGGCCTTTCCTGTGCCTGCTTAACATTCGTGTCACCCTTCAATCAGGTCTATATTCAGCACATGAGGTCCAAGGATGCAGAGCACCCCAGAAAACTGCGCCTGGTGCGCAAGGGCAACGAGCCTCACTGTTTCAGCCGCTGTTTCCACGCATGGAGCGCCTTCAAGACCGCTCCTGCATAAACCAGCCTCACACAGTCTGTCTGAATACAGTTTGAGCTGTAGGGTTCAGAAAACAACACCACTCACAACAGACCATACATTATTAAAGTGCACTACATCACTCTTTAAAAAGCTCACATATATATATATATTTGCTAATTGAAGCAATATTATTGAATTTTATATTTATGTGTAGATTTGAAATCAAAGGAAGACCTGTCTAAATGATACAGCACTTGGGTAAGCGTTACCTCAAGAGATCAAATGCTGTATTCCTTAAGGGATGTTTTAAGAAGAACATATCTGTTGAGGGAGAGTCTACATTTTTTAACCATCTGGCTGCACAAGTGTTGTGAATTGTCATACCCGTTTACATTTTCTAAGTTTTGCAGCGGTTATTTTAAAGACAACTCCTTATATCATTTGTCTGGGTTACACTTTTCATGTTTTATTCTGTAGATGCATATCACATACTGCCAAAACTTAGAGTTATTGAAAGCACAACACCTATGTCTGTTTCAGATATCACCTAAACAAGCTGCTGATTTGGTGCCTCACACACTAGATTATTATTTTTTTTGCCTTTGAATGTTTCTTTCTATTAGCTTGATTTGTTTTACTGCTTCACTTTTGGGATGTTGACTCTGATGCCAATGCTGATGGAATAATGAATTGCAGTTTATGTGGGATGTATTTTCAGTTATTTACGTGTCCGAATGAGAATTTGTGCTTTTATGCCCTTAAACTGCCCCGTACATCTATACCAATGCAGCAGATAACTGAGTGGAACCCAGAGATTTTAATTAAAAACGCAGTCTGTAACTGGCAATCCAGTGGTAGTAGTACAACAGTGTTACCATGATTTGGTCTTCACATATCGATGCTATTTAGCTGACCGTGTCATTAATCACAGGTTCTGCTTTTTTTTTTTTTTTTTAAAGAGAGAAAAGGTTATGGTCCTGTGTATGGACTACTTGATAGTTATATTGAATATTTGTTGAACTTGCACAGGGAAATTTGTTTAGCCAAGGAAATAAATATTTTTATTTTAATTATGCTAATCAAATTTGTTATGCCTTACAATTTGTTTATGTCATAAAAGGGATTGGGAGAGGTAAAATAGTTTTTTTGCAGTTGATGGTGAGTTGCCCTATTTTGTTTCTTTTTGTCACCGCAGCTTTTTTGTCTGCATATATAAATGTATTTCTAAGTACAAATATTTTCTGCCACTGATTTCACCTGCAGATGCTCTATTTATGTATTTTGTATTGAATAAAGTTTCGTTTGAGCTATTTAGCTGACCGTGTCATTAATCACAGGTTCTGCTTATTTTTTTTTTTTTTAAAGAGAGAAAAGGTTATGGTCCTGTGTATGGACTACTTGATAGTTATATTGAATATTTGTTGAACTTGCACAGGGAAATTTGTTTAGCCAAGGAAATAAATATTTTTATTTTAATTATGCTAATCAAATTTGTTATGCCTTACAATTTGTTTATGTCATAAAAGGGATTGGGAGAGGTAAAATAGTTTTTTTGCAGTTGATGGTGAGTTGCCCTATTTTGTTTCTTTTTGTCACCGCAGCTTTTTTGTCTGCATATATAAATGTATTTCTAAGTACAAATATTTTCTGCCACTGATTTCACCTGCAGATGCTCTATTTATGTATTTTGTATTGAATAAAGTTTCATCACGCATCTGTATGACTCTTGTGGAGTATTTGTCATTGTATGCATGCATTTATGGTGTTCGAAAACTATTAGTGGTATCACATGCATATATACATAAGTAGGGGCGAGTTAATTTGGGTTGTTATTGATAAAACAAAGATTTTATCAATAATGAGTGGTTGAGCCAGGTGACTGCAGTCAATAATAACATTTTTATAAAAAATTATTTACTTTTCATCTAGCTGTGCTGTACAGGAAAAAGTCTAAATGTTGTTACTTGTTTGGTTTCACAGTTTTTAGGAATGCTCTAATTTTTGTAATGAAGGAAAATTATACAGAGTAACAGCTGAGAGCAAAATGTGAGAGTTAAATATTTATTATTATTAATAAATATTAATATTATTTTGGTAATTAAAATGTTTTATTTTCTTGTGAAATTATTGTACTATATAATGAATATCAAGTCAATATATTATTTCAAAAATAATGAAATAATATATTTCATAATATATTATACTATAATTGTATTATTAGTAATATGTATAATAAATCATATTGTTTAATCAATCATTTTTGCTTATTAACATTTCATTAAGCCATGTTAATACAGATATCATATTTTGATATTAATTTAATTCACATATACCTATTGTTATTATTACTACATTTATATTTATAATGCATAATATTGTTTATTATATTATATTTGTATTAATTCATCTAATTAAATCGTTTCAATATAATATTATTTAAATATTAATATAATTGCATGTTTATTAATCTTTATAATAATCAATCATATTAATATAATTGTTATATTATTGTTACGTAATCCACGCAAAGGTATGCGATATAAAAGTCCGGTGTGTCATAATAAAAGCTCTTCCACTGCAGCCTTGCAGATTGAAATGGAAGAAATGCCTTTAGATCTTAGAAGAATTGAACTGTCACTAAGATATTGGGTCAATATATTAGGACATAGTCAAGAACACCCAGCTAGGGTAGTTCTAAAACCTTTCCTGTCTGCGGCTCGCCCATCGCTCCCCACAATGCATTGCGCTGATCGATTACGCACACACAGGCTCGCGCTTCACCCGGCCTCACCGCCCGTACTGTTGTTCACAAGCCGTCCAAATCCACGCGGATTATAGCGAGAAGAACACTCCAGCACACACAGCCAGCGCCTTCCAACAGTATGGAGTCCACCGCCAAGAGAGACGCGGAGAGCACCTGTGTGCTGTGCTGCCAGGACATCGACCTGTTCGCGGTGGGGAAGTGCGATCACCCGGTGTGTTACCGCTGCTCCACCAAGATGCGGCTGCTGTGCGAGCAGAAGTACTGCGCCGTCTGCCGGGAGCAGCTCGACAAGGTGCCGCCGCCTCTCCTCCTCCAGCAGCGAGCGAGCGCAGGCCTCGGCCGCTTCTCACACACACACACACACACACACACACACACCGCAGCCTGGCGACAGCAGCACCAGTAACTTGGGCTACATACACTTATAATGGGAGCGGCCGTGTTTGTCGCTAGCTAGCTAGCAGTGTGGAGAAGTTGTCAGGAAAAAGTTTAGCTCAGTTGTCTCATCTTTCACAAGTGAAATGGAGGTAGTTGTTTGACTAATTGTTGTTATGACCTCTGTTTTTAATTGTAGATACATTTGGAAAGTGGTTTTTTTTTAGTTTAGAAGTGAGCTGGTTTAGCGTAGCAGTGGTGATTTATTGCCTGACGTTTCCCGTGACAACCAAGCAGCTCTCTAGCGTTAGTTGGCTAAAGTAAGTCCTTCACGCTGTAGTTTACTTCACGTGGGTTAACATATGATTTGAGATATACATCATCTGAAAGCTGAATAAATAAGCTTTCTATTGATATATGGATGGTTAGGATAGGACAATATTTGGTCGAGATACAACTATTTGAAATCTGGAATCTGAGGGTGCAAAAAAATCAAAACATTGAGAAAATCACCTTTAAAGTTGTCCAAATGAAGTTCTTAGCAATGCATATTACTAATCAAAAATTAAGTTTGGATATATTTACGGTAGGAAATTTACACTCTCTTCATGGAACATGATCTTTACTTAATATT